AAAAACCTCTCAAAAAAAAAAAAAAGTTTGCCAGACAGTGCATGCACTCACCAGAGACAGAGAGAGCACAAAAGTGAGAAAACAGCCCCTGGAGGGTGGCCACGCCTCAATCCCTTTTTCTTCATTCACCTCTCTGAATTTTGGGCATTCTCAAACATGTGCCTGGTATGTTTGTTAATTTACTGGGTTTGGGATTCAAACCCCACAGTCAGCCATGTGGCATCCAGCTGCCTTAACCACCATGTCAGAGGCTGACACATGGATCTATGAATTCTTAACAATAGCTCTTAGTCCTGATTCCCTTTAGCCAATCATACTGTTTACTACGTTGTGTTATTGGCATTTCGGAGTTCTTCATTGAAGGACTATCCCGTGCATTGTTGGATACTGAGCACTTTAATTTATTTATTTATTCGTGTGTGTGCGTGTGTACATGAGTCTGGAGTTTTAAACAATGTTTCACTGTTCCCTGTCCTGCCTCAGGCTCTCAAGTGGCTGAGACCACATGCATATGTCAGGATGCCCAGCTTGGATCCCCGTTTCTAAGTGCCAATAGCATCTCTTCCCACCCTCCGTCTCAGTGGGGCAGTGCATGATCCTTTCAGAACTTTCTCTCAGGACTACTATGATAGAACAGGTGCACAGGAGCATCTTCAGAAAACTTTGAGGTCTATACTTGGCAAGGGCCGCACGACTTACCTGTTCCAAGAAGGACACGGAGTCTCTAAGTGGGGCCAATGAGTGGTGTTGGGTGTAGAGGTAGGAGGGGCTGAAGAGTCTCCTATTCTTTCTGGGGTACTTCCCTCCAGACTTCTTTCTCCAAAATGCTAAGGTGTTGTCGCCTATTGTCTCCTTACGAGGTTACCTCTGGAAGCTTGATAATCTTTCTTTCCTTTGATTAGCTGACAACACAGCTTTGCTGCTGGACAGTCACTCACAGTACTTGAAAACATTACCACTTTTCTTAGGCAGTGTTTAAAAGCAGACACACACTTACATGTCTTTCGTATCCTACAGATAGTAAATGGAGAAAACAGGGAAGGGGTCAAGTCTAAAACCAGCAGGTCTTGACCACAGTATTATAAGGTTTTTCCTGAAGGGGGGGGGTCTCTCAAAGATACATGAACACACCCTTCCACCTCTTTAAATGCCATGGTGAGAAAGCCTGGAGGAGACCATATTTACCTAAAGAAATAGGATAATGAGATTAAAAATAATTTTAAAAATGAACAGAAATGCTAAAGCTAATACAGATGATAAACACAAACACCATTTTGCAGTCTGTATGAGTAATCACAGGGTTAGTATTTAATGGCACCATTAGGTTCCATATTTTGCCAACAGGTAGGACTCTCAGATGAGTCCAGTTAAACTAGTACCCTTTTCTCAGAAGACGGATACAGCATCACCTTTCTCCTCTATGCTAGCAACTAAGTAAGTCATACATTAATTAAGATTTGAAAACATTAACGAAATGTTTCCAAATTGCTTATAATTTTAAAAACTTACATTGTTTGTTAAATGTAGCTTATTTCTTTTATAAATTGCTTGAAATAATACATTATTCAACAATTAGTTTGGGAGTACTTAATCATACATGTAAACATTTTTACTTTAAAAAAAATTGGCTAAAAAAAAAAAAAAAAAAGTCCTGGGACCAG